ACAAGCAAAGAGCATGATGAACTCATGCTTAATGATATGAACATGGACAACTCTATTGCTCTTTAGCTCGGGTATAATAATCTTCATTTGATTCCCACTTGCTTTTCTTTAGATGCCCAATGACCTAAAATAGTATAATAATCCTCCACAATGACAAAGCCAAGTTAGTGGTGGGAGGCGACAGTAAGGGCGAGGATAAAGAGCTGCGAGTGGCTATAGTCGTCACTTTTTAATTTTTATTTTTTTATTATTTTAACTATAAAACATAATGTATATAATATAATTATTTTATGATTATTTTTTAATTACTTTTTATGTAAAATTTTTAATTTGTTATTGGATGGTCACCGTCATTTTTAAGTTTTAAATTTTTTTTATCATATAAATAAAATTTGAGATATATAATAAAATTACTTTTTAAACACCTCTAAAGCAAAATCCTAGACTCATCACTGATCTTTCATTCCTTTAAAATTAACATCTCAAATACCCAAAATTATGAATTAAAAGACAATGGTAGGAAACTAAATTGTAGAGTTGAGAGTGATTGAAAGGTTGGAGAAACGTTTACAAGGGGAAAGAAGCTTTATAGGGAAAAAAGTAGAGGTTTTGCTTTTGAGGGACAAATTAATCCAACAATGACCACCACATATTGAAATATATCAACCGATTGCAGTTTAAATTGATGCTGATTATGAATCAAAAGATGATTTGATATGTGGACAATGAAATTTTATAACAAATAATAAAGCAAAGGATGTCGGATTGTACATCAAACTTAATAATAATATCAGAGAGAGAGAGAGAGAGAAGGGGCACACTCTCAAAACTATGGATGGTATCAAAATCCCAAACTTTTTCTCTTATGGCAATGCAAAATTTGTGATTAAATATGATTGATTATGTTCTAAATATAAAATTGAAAAAAGGGTAAAATTTATTTATAGAGTTCTTTGATTCCTATTCATAATCCTGCCAAATTGGATAGTCGATTTTTGGTTCAAATTGTTGTCGGAAATAAGATACATGCATACTTAGGAACATTTCAATGGAATGCATGGAAAAATGGTGAGATGATAGCTTTGAATAATGCAAGTAGGAGAGTTAAATTACAAAGTACAATAATAGAATCAATTCCTTGTCTAAAAATTTATTCTCAAAGTAGACAATTTCATTAAAAAATTTTTAAATTAAAGATTTGAAATTGTTCTCGTCAACTGTATTCACATATGTGTTTGATTTGATACGTTAAATTTAAGATGTTTGGATTTTTTTAATTTAAAAAATAAAACAATTTGGTCAATAGTAATGACAATAGATTTTCCAAAGAGGACCCCTCAAAAATGGGCATCATGTTGTGACTAAAATTTTGGAGTATTACTCATTAGGTAAACCCTAATTAAGAGCCATTCCACTAAGACAAAAAAAAAATACAAAAAAAAATTATGAAAAAGACCTAAGTTGGCCCAAAATTCACGTGAAATGTTAACTATGGCCATGTTGGATGGTTTGCGGAGGTATCTATTTGACGTCACCTCACACGTGGCCATCAACGACATGACACGTCATCAGACAATAACACGTGTGGCCCCATAGCTGGTAGACTTTGACTGCCCGCAAGAAGCCCCACCCACACGTGAGGGATATCTGCCTTAGTTCCCCCTCGGGCCCCTTTGCTACAGGCCCAACATGCTGGCCCAAAAACATTGTCATACACAGTCTGTGGTAAGCTGACTGATTGATTCCATTCCACCTTGAAACTATGGCTACTGTCTGGTCTTGTTCGATCTGAATGATTCGTTCTTTTTTTGTTTTCCTTTTAGGTTTATTTCGTTGCCACGTAAATAGATAGCAAATATCATTAATTATTGGTCACCCTCGGCAAATTTGTAACTATCTTGGCACATTAGTAATGAATTAAAAGTGTCGTAATCTTTTTATGTTTGGCATGAAAATTGCGTAACGTGTTGTTTGTATATTAGATGACGTGAGTTGAACAGCATTCTTGATTCTGATCCGATCCCTGTCTGATAATTGTCCTTCTTCCACTCATGCAAGTTCATGTGCAAATAATTGTCAACAAGCTTGGATAGTAGTAGGAGGATTGAAGGTCTTGTAATGGTGTCAAACTCATACCAACAAAGTAAACAAAAAACATTTGGCCCGTATAATTGAAGGTGATGAAAGGATGACACAAGCAGCTCCCTAATTTGGGAAACTTTCTTTTGGTCGAGCAACTACCGGATTTAAGATCAAGACAAGGTTTGGGTTGTTGAGTTAGTATACAACTTTGAAAGATTCCCCTGATTCTACATATACTCCTTGCTGAAATTTGTTTATTGAATACCAATCCTAGAGGGACAAGGGTGCAGTTTTACTCAGTGTTATCTGGTTCAGTCTGGTCAGATGTTCTTGTCTAATGTTCTCCTAACATCTAGCATTGTTGAATTTAACAAAACACCAGGATAATTACAAGGGTTTGTGATGTTGATTGCTGAGGTTAAACGAGAGAAAGAAAAGAAGAAGCTGATAAAGACAGATTTATGTTAATTTATGGGAGAATTTTCGGACTTTTTTGTTGTGAAATAGACACTTGGACAGCCTGCATGAATTAACTATGGCCACCAGAGGCACATTATTCATGCAAAAAGCCTTAAAATACTCTTCCCGGTCTGCAATCTGAATTGACTATATGTATATATTGGAGCCACATTATGCATGCAGAAGCTTTGAAAAACTGGAACTTGCATCATTGATAGCTGCTTGGAAACATTGTTTAATAAGCAGAGAGAGGATATATATCCTTTCTTTCAGAATTTATAAAGGAATTGCTGTAATCTCAGTTGGTGGAGTCAGCATTCAATCAAGTTCAAGACTGGGAAAAGATAATTTTCTTTTTTCTTGAAGTTCTTTACAAGGTATCATGTGCAACTTGGAACAAAGATAACAACACTTGACACTATTTTCAAGTTTGAATCTATGGCAAGTTGTAATATGACCCTTAAACCACCTCTCAATTTTCAAAGACCCTTTCCCTTTTTCTTGGTTTTAAAGGCTTTTCCCCAACTGCTAAAATTCTAGGGTTTTTTTTTGTCTCAGCAATGATTATTCAACTATATTCTGATGTTGGGGTCTGTTAAGAAGTATATGTCCATGTCTTCCTACCATCTAACACTGCTAAACCCAACTGAGTAAGCAGCCTTTCTTTTTTCTGCGTCCATGTCTTCCTACCATCTAACACTGCTAAAATTTCAACTGATTAAACAGCCTTCTTCTCTAACAGAACCAGCAGGTTTCATCTCCAAATACACGGAAAAGACTACATCAAATGATATACAATATGGTAGAGTTAGACCAAACATGTTTGAATGTCTACCTCTTTGAGATCAATGATGATGATAATAATAATAATAATAATAAATAGTCAACTAAACCACTCTTTGAGCTAGCTTTATAATATTGTCTTCTTATCTGCTATCTCCCACTAACAACTCTGGTTACTTAAACAAGTTGATTTTGACACTGTTTTCAAGCTTCCATCACCGACTGCTAGTTAAAAAAATAAATTCGCATTTGAAGAAGAGGAGGAATGGGCCAAAAGTGGTTGAGGAGTTGCTGATTTTTCAAATGTGTTATTTTCAATAGTGATGTGTGTCTGCTTAGATGTCAAATATTTTGGAAAATCATTCCAACAAACTCTTCTTGGAAGAGTTCCTCAAGTTGGGCCATAGCCACAGGAAGCATCAGTGAAGCCCACTTTCATGCCTTGGCCTTACCTTGGCTAAGTTGCTCCATTCTTGACCATACTTCAAATGACTTAAGTTTCATCTCTTTCTTGGCTACATTTCTTTCTTCTTCTGACCAGTTCAATCCAGTTATGTAGTAAATAATGGGAAAAGCAGAGAACCTAGCCTTAAAAGGTTACAAGGAAACTCTATTTTTTAACCATTGACATGAAAAAGGACATTATTGGGATTAGAATTCAACATGAAAAAGGTTACAATGACGTTATTATGCTGCTAGGTGAAGAAACCAGTAAGGAACCAGAATATAGCTTCAAATGCATGTCTTTGTATCTGAAGCATTCTAGCACATTCATTAAAATGAAGTTTTACTCTGACCCGAAATTTTAGGATAACAATTTGCTGCTCCAGTTTTCACAGCATTTGACTTATATTTCAAATCAGAGTATCAGCAAGAGCAAAAGGGCTCTAGCCAGGAATTGAAACGAACTCCTAAGTCATACCAAGTCTAAAGAAAGTTGAGGCTGTAATGCACTTGCATGTAGCAAAAACTCATGCATAATTCTATGTGACATGTGCATCTGTTACTTATTTCTAAGCGTCTTCTGTCACCCAGTAAAAGTAGCTTGAATTCCGCAAGTTGATCAACAGAACATCATTTTAGTGTAGATTTTAGCAACTCAAAATTTTCAGAGAGGACCCAAGAACATGTGAAAATGAGAAAAGATAGTAACACTGGACAATCAGGTTGTAAGACCCAATTCTCTTTTAGGCCCAAGGAGATCAATTACAGAGCTGATTTACTATCTACATCATTAATGAATATGTTAGTACAGTTTCTGGAACCAGAGATAGCATCTTTTTGTTAATATCATTGTCGAGTAAGTACCAAGCAAGAATGTAATGTGCCTTAATGCAAAGGTTTCAAAGATTACAGAATTTGAGCAGAAGCTGCAGTAGCTAAATCAAGGCTCCTGGCGAGTGAGGGATGGCAATGGGTACACCATGAACAAGTACTCACTATTATCCAATTCAATTATATAAAATATAAATATTATGCGTTCGGGTTAACAAATTTAGAATCAATGAACAAGAACTATTACGACTCAAATTTATACTCCAAATCATGAATATTGGATTTTTAGCCCACAAAAACAAATTGACCCAATCTCAAATTTCTTAGCCCAGGCTCTTTGTTTTAGCCCAAACTCACATACTAACATCAACTTCCTTAAAGGCCTTCAAACCTTATAACATTTTACTCCTAATTTGTATTCATCAATTCAGAAAATATCAGTCTAATCTCTTCTCCTCACTCTCTCTCTTACGCTTCCAATGGCAACTCTCTTGAACCCTTCTTCTCTGCTTCTGCCGCCCAAACCCTTCCTTTCAACTCGTCTCCAACCCACCCCACCTCTTTCTCTCCGAGTCAACTCGCTGACTCATCACCTTCCTTCAACATCAGCTCGTCTTCCTCGTTTCGTCAAAGCTGCAGCACTCGACAGTGACTATTCACCCAAGAGGAGCAGCAGCAATGAGCCGAGGGAAACGATAATGTTGCCTGGATGTGATTATAACCATTGGCTTATTGTTATGGAGTTCCCTAAAGACCCTGCTCCTACAAGAGAGCAAATGATTGAGACATATCTTAACACTCTTGCTACTGTCCTTGGCAGGTGAGACTTTCTGGGATTCTTTTGTTTTGTTCAAAAAACACTGAAAAGTATGGAATTTTGATGTAACTTTTTGTGGGTTCTGCTTGGTCTATTATGAAGTGTTTGAAAATTCCTCTTTTCGTGTTTTCTGGATTTGCTTTTGTTGCCTTTGGGAATGTCAAATTTTGATGAGATTGGTTGTGGGTTTTGCTTTCTTTTATGATGTGAGTGTTTTAGGTTCTTTATGATATATAGAAAGTGAATTCCTTTGTTTAATAGTTGTAGTGAGTTTAAGGTCCGGAGTGGCCAGAAATATATCTGTTTACCTGAATCTGCTGACTCAGCTTTGTGATAGAATTAGTTATTGTCAAGAACTCACGAGTATAACTGGTTAGTTTGAGCTGCATTTATATATATTAGTGAAGCTCACAACTCATATGTCTCTTTTTCTGACCGTCTGCTGTCTTGTTTAATGCCAGATATCATGAACAAGCCTTTCTTAGTTATGAACATGAGATCTGCATTTCTTTGTCCATGTGTTTAATCATTAAGAGCCTGTTATGTGTAATAATTTAACATACGATAAGCACCATTTCCATCAGTACATGTGTATCTAGTAATTGTAATAAAGGACTCTTAGAGATGATTTTTTTTTCTTTATTACAGCATGGAAGAAGCAAAGAAGAACATGTATGCTTTTAGCACCACTACATATACAGGGTTCCAATGTACTGTATCAGAAGAAACCTCTGAAAAGTTTAAGGGTAAGTAGATTTATCCGGAATTTGTTTGTTTAAACTATGTTGTTATTTGTGACTTAAGAATGAATTTCTATTCTTTTGGATGTAGGATTGCCTGGAGTTCTGTGGGTGCTGCCTGATTCCTACATAGATGTCAAAAATAAAGATTATGGAGGTTGGTTGGGCTTATTAACTTTAGTCATGCAAAGAAATCTTTTGTTTTTACCAGACCCTATATTGTGGTCATATAATGTGCTTTTGCGTGTTTTAGGCGATAAATATATCAATGGTGAAATAATTCCCTGCAAATACCCTACTTATCAACCCAAGCCAAGAAAAGAATCAAAATATGTGAACAGAAGATATGAAAGACGAAAAGATGGTCCACCTGCTGGAAAGTTCAGACCAAAGCAAGCAGCAAATCAGTCAGAATCATCACCTTGACAAGGTACCAGAAACGCCTTTTTATACTCCTGTTTGTTATGTGGTCTAAAGTTTAATTTTCATCTTACAACTTCTTTTCGTTTGTTGACAGTTAATAAATGTTTCACCGCAAGGACGATTGACACTTGGCAAGCTGATATCACTACTCTGCATGTTATTGGAACACTTGTTCTGGGGTAGCATATATCTGTTCTATAAATTTTCCCTTGTAAAGCCTTTGTAGTAGTTTTATGCGAACAGAATTAGACCTATATGATTTTATTATTTAAAACATTGTTGATTGAGAAGTATATTAGCAAACATGTTATCTTTTTCCATGTAACTTTGAGCTATATGGATGCAGTTGACCTTTTGGTAATCAGATGGGTTTTGGTTATATGTGCTTGCTTTGGTTTCCCGTTGCCTTTGTCTTGGCCAACTTTGTGTATATGAGCGCATGCAGAGCACTTAGATATAAACGCAGTTTGACAAAACGCTATGAAGTTCTATGCAGAAAGCCTTTATTTGTGTATTAATTGATGAATGTGGGATATATTCATGTAACCAATCTTGAAATCAAGTACTTGTGAACCGAAAGCTAGGTGTTTGAGCTTTCATTTTACGAGTAGAATCTTTGCTAAAACCAAATTTCCTGCATTGTTGAATAACAATATGATTATTTTATCATTCTATGGACTTAAAACGAGTTATATCATCAGTTCATCATGTTAACTAACAAATTTAAGGAGTTGTTTTGGGATCATTGCTTGCTGCTTGATAGTTTTGAGCCTTTTGGCATTGACAAAAATGACAATGACAAGCTGAAGGTTGATGTTTTGTGTAATTTGCTTTAGTGATTACAGTTTAAAGGCCTACTTCTTCCACACATTTTCAGATAGTTTCAAAGGAAAGACAAATAGTCAATAAAAGTAAACTATACCCAATAGTTCTATCCAAATCAAGGGGGAAAAAGAACATTGCAACTCGTTTCATAGATTTTGAAAATTATTGGTACATTCAAATCTGTAAGTAAGCTTTAATAGGATACTAGTTTCTGCAGATTATTTAATGATATAACAGCTGCTTTCTGTTAAAAAAGAAAAAACCTCAGACTGAGAAGAACTTGTATGCCTTGGGCACGACAATCACGTCCACGTCTTCAAGACTGAAAGACTCTGCAAGCTTGGGTGTGTAATACCACTTAATGCAACACTTTAGTTCTCTTCTGTCATTTCCTCCAAACTCCTAGCTTTTCAATGTTGCAAGGAAACGATTTCAACATGTAACAATGACTAACTTCCACATATCTTACTCGCGGCATCACACTCTGCACCAAATCCCACTCCACCTGTAGCCTTGCCAGGAACTTGAGACAAAGACCTTCAACCTTCCAAGTGACCGTCTTGCCACCCTCGAAGCTAGGGTGCATGAATTGCAGGTCTCCATTTTCGATACAAAGATACTGCAATTGACGGAGTGACTCAGGATTTATCCACATTGGTGTGGTTACACCACGGTAATACCTGAGGTACAGCTCCTCAAGATGTGGTGGAGGAGACAAGGCATCTAGTTTCCGGAAAATCTCCTCTTTCTCACATCCTTCGGTGTTGATTGATAAAACCTTTAGTTGTTTGAGACGGGACAGGACAGTCAGTTCCTGTTCTGCAATGCCGCTTTCTTCGCTTATGTTTACTCGCAGTACTTTAAGCTGTGACAGGCCTTGGAGCTCACCTAAACGACAGCCATTCCTGTCTGCTGCACTTGGTACTGTGAATCCTGACAGCTCTTGAAGATTTGAGAGCCTCCCTAGCCCCTGAGGGAGATATTGGATAGGACAGTACCCTATGTCCAATACATTTAACTTCTGCAGATTTGTGATCGACGAGGGCAGTTTCTGTAGATTGTTGCATCCAGTCAAAACCAAAAGCTGCAGGTTTCGGAGCTCTCCGATTAACTGTGGCAGTTCCTTCAGGGCAGCAACTCCTCTTAGGTTCAGATATACTAGGCGTTCAAGGGAGGTGATCCAGTGCAGTAGTTTCTGAATGGGAATGTTATCTAGCTTATTCTGTGAGAAATCCAACACCCTGAGGGACTTTACTCTGAACAGTGGGATGGTCCTATCAAAGTCAACCGGAGAGCTGCTCATCATCAGGAAAGTCCGGAGCTTCGATTTTCTATTCAGTGATTTCATATCTTCTTCACCTGTAACACCTAAACGCCTGGATCGTATAGTAGGTATTTGCTTGCCATGTTCATCAAAGCTGCAGAAGGCCTCTTCTCTGGCAATTTTAATGGTCAAGTCTCTGACAAGATCATGCATCTTGCAACTGTAGACTCTTCCATCAAAACCTCTCTGCTTGACAACTTCAACAAGGCACCTACCAATAAGCTCCGACAGGTAATCAAATGCTAATTCTATTGCTGTTCTGGTGTCTTTTCCCTGGACGAAACCCTCTCCAACCCACCAATGAACCAACTGCTCAGCACTTATCACCGAGTCCTCTGGATAGATGGAGAAACATAATAGACATTGCTTCAGGCGAGTAGGCAGCTCATCGTAGCTCAATTGTAAGGAAGCCATTACTGAGCTTTCACCTTCTCTAGTGGCCAATTCCTCATGGAAATTGTTGTAAATCCGTCTCCAAACATCAGTTGACACAGTTTTTGATTTCAGCAAGCCTCCTACTGTCTTAATAGCTAGCGGAAGTCCACTGCATTTCTTCACTATATCTTTCCCTAGTTCTTCCAACTCATAGTGCTGTTTTGCTTCCTTTTCTGAAGAAAATGCAATTCTACAGAATAAGGCCCAGCTTTCTTCATCATTGAGAATTCGGGGTTGGTGAATTCGAGCTTTCTCCACCCCCATCTCTGTGGCAACACTTTCTTTCCGTGTAGTGATTATTATAGCACTGCTCTGCCCCTGCCTCTTGGGTAGTCCAGCAAGTAATCTTTCCCACCAGCCATGAGCACTCCAGACATCATCCATCACGATCAGATAGTCCTTACCTTCAAGTGCATTTTTAATCTTTGGCAGCATTTGACCCATATCCAGTCCATAAGTATCCTCTCCCAGTTGTTTCAGAATGGTTTTCATGATCTCTTCCTCATTGACAGTCTGAGATATTGACACCCAAATCCTCTCCTCAAATCGCTCGAGGATCATATCATTGTTGTAGATCTTCTGGGTTATGGTTGTTTTCCCCAAACCCCCCATTCCCACAATCCCAACCTGGTGTAACAGTTTTTTCGTAGGAAGAATCCACCCTATAATCTTCTGTGTATCTTCTGCCAAACCAACTATGCTGGATTCATCAAAAGCTGGTGACGTCCACCTCCTAGTGATACTGCCACCATCATCATGGACACTCTGCTGTCCAATTGTCTTGAAGTAGGTTTTCAAGATCTTCTGCATCTTCTCTATCCGTCCATTAATATCTTTCAGCTTTTTCCCAGTTCGATGCTGAAAGATCATCTTACGATGGAGGAAATTGTTGCAATGGAAAACTTCTTCCTGGTATTCAGCTCTAAGTAAGCAATCTGTGAGTATATCCTCCGCATCATAAGTCAATTCTCTGATCATGCTTAGAGTTGTCTTCACGGTTTCCTCCTTCCTTTTCAGCTTGTTAGCATCAGCAAGAAAGGATTTCATCAGGTCAAGCTGCGTCTTCAGCTCCATGAACTGGCTTCGAAATTCAAGCACACGACCACTATGTTCTTTCAGTGCATCGATCAACTTCCCTGCTACAACTTCTATGATAGCATCTGCCATCTTTTTCTGTTGCTAACCTGCAAAATCCAGCATTATAGATTTTATATCATCAAATCTGATAAATCGTGTTTCATTAATCGGCATGCTGAAGATGTAAGTTCTATATATGTAATTATTCAGTAGTTGGAAATATCTATGGCACATTACTGTTAGTATTCTGTCCCCTCCCCCCTGTCTGCATCCTTCTCTTTATCACCATCCCTTCTTTGTTTCAGATTGATAACAATAACTTTGATCATTTTCTTCGTGGAGTAGCATCTTTTAATGCGCATAAACATTTTCTTCATGGAGTAGCATCTTTTAATGCACATAAACATTAACATTCTATACCCGATTTGATTCAATTGCCAATGATAACTTTTGATCATGATTCTAGTTAGCATGTTACAAACATTATCTAAACCTCTTTCATCCTTTCTCCCGTTAACCTGCTTTCCTTTTCCCAACTCCTTTCCTAAAGGCCAAACGGATACAAGTGGAAAGGGGAGGAAGAAGAGAGGAAGAAGGGAATTCCAAGTGCAATTAAGACCCCACAGAAAAAAAACGGAGCTGAACATCAACATGAACAGAAGAATTCAGGTACTTACTCAGATGTTTCTTAGTGGTGCTATGATTATCTCTAGTCCGTATGAACAGTAAATCCTGAAAATCTGAGTTTTTGTGGATTGAAGCAAATTGATAACCAATTAAACAGGAAATATTGAAAACAGCACGAACATGATGATAAATTCAAGGACTTACTCAGATGTTTCTTTGAGATATTATAGTATCCGAGGTGTACGAACTTCAAATCCTGAGAAACATCAAGTTTTGGGAACGGAAACACATCAACAATCACCTTTGTGAAAAGTTAACATATCCATGAAGATAAATCTTAAGAGACATTGAAAACATGGATCAAACCTGAAGTTTAGGGGAGTTGCTTAACTCAGATGAGAGAGGTAGTTCATGTTGGAAGGGTAGGACCTTGCAATCTAAGGTCTTATATGGTAAACAAACCATTGAAAAAACTTGTTCTTCCTTGAAATTGCTCATGTTTTATTTTCCTATCCACCATCCGAGTACAAATGATTGTCAATTAAGACTAACATTAAATGCTGTAAATAATGATCATAGTCCAATGGAAATCCCAGGTTTTCTCTAGTGTAAACAGGAGAAAAGTTGATGACAGCCGATTACAGAAGAGGATAGTGGACTGTCATCCTCCATCATCCTTACTCGTTTCTTTTGAATTTTGATGCAATTAACAGGGTAAATGGGATTAGGGTCCTACCACTAGTTTAGCCACTACATCCTACTTGTTGACAGAACCTGGAAACTCATTTCTTGGCAATTCAGAACATCATACTGTATCTTCGTTCCTTCAAACCTTTTTCATCCTCATTTCAAAAGGAAATTATATATCAGTAACAAAATTACAACCACAAATGTTTTCATGTGATCATCTTTATAGCAGAATTTATCATTGGAATAACACTGAAAGTTGACTGACTGCAAACTTGTCAGATTATCAGCTCCAGAATCAATAGAATAAAGACTTGCAGAAGGACTACAAAATACATAAGACAAAGGGGGGAGTGTGAGACGTACCAAGCTGAAAAAGGTTGGTATTGGTGTGAGCCTGTGAATCTGCCAATGACCAGAACCTTATTTTTTTCTTTTTTTTTTTTTTTTTATTTGTTTCTTTTTCTGGTGGGAATGGAAAGCTAAACCTTTCTACATCTAGCAAGGTAAAGATAGACTTAATTTACCATAACTTACACTTGAAGAAGTAAGTTTGATTATTCTTTGAGTTTGATCTACTACAACTTAAAGTTAAGTTAAATCTAAGTAAACTTAATTCACTTTCATCCCTCATGGCATCCCTTTCTAATACCATTTTTTCCCCTTTTTCATTTCCGCCCACTCCTTGGACCCCTGACCACTGAGAGCCCTGTCGCACCATGTCTCCATTAGCCTACAGGCTTAATTCAAAGTGGGGGGTTGTTCTGCTCGTTTTCCTTTGATTTGGAAAGGAAAGGCAAAAAAATAAAGTGAGAGAGAGAAGGAGAGAGAGAGAGAATAAGAGACATTGATAGATGATACAAGAAAGAGAATGCAACAATGACAAGAGTTCCCCAGTGCCTTTACAACATTGTTCTGTCTGCCATTGATTGTATTTTAAGTGAAAACACCACTTTTTTTTTTTCTTTTGTTATTGGAACATGAACTGAAAATCTAATTTTATGCTTCTTTTTTTAATTTAAATTTGATATGGGTATCTATTGAAAAGGATTGATGAACATGAATTTTTTTTTTGCTTTCAAGAAGAATTGACCACCACAATTGAGACCATTATTCACGAGTTCTGATTGCTTCCCATGTAGCATGCTTTTCTTTCACCTTTCTAGCTAATTCACAGCTGCAAACTTTGTCAAAGCTTGATCATGAATTCATATCAAAGAAGAAAAAGGTGAATGCAATTCAACCATGATTGAATTTGACTGCCATAAGATGAAAGCATGTGCTTTTTTTTACACCATTTTTGTGCTTGGAGAATGGGGTGAATCCCCATTATTCCCCCTTGCCCATGATTCAGCCAACTGATCATTTCACGTAGTTAGTGCAGACAAAAGTCAACCAAAATGAGAACATGAAAATTAAATAAAAAGCAATAGCTTCAAATGAAACTGGGTTATGTACTTTGCCTTTTGAAGCAAGTGAATCACCATTTCCATCGCCTTAAGTCTCAAAATTTCATATCAATATAACCATCATTCCATTATATATGGGACATGCTTAAAAGCGATAACAAAGCAACCTTTGATCAACTAGAAAATATAAATGAAATTGGGTTTATTAGCTTATAAACAAACAAAAAGATCTCACTAAGAAAAAGATAAAAAGAAAAATAAATAAATAAACAATATATATATATAAAGAAAAATGAAAATAAGCTTTCTTTGGTGTATTTAAGAGATTATCTTTCGTAATTTCTTTTGACTTTTTGTGAAAGTTGATGGACCTTATACCAAGAACAAGATATAACAAATCATTCTCGAAAACCAAGAGAATATATTAGAAAAAAGCACTTTCCCCTTTTCTTCAACATGTGAGCTAGTTAGCTACGTATATATATTCAATTATTCATGCATCTTGCATAACTAGCTTACACTTTACTTGTAGAATAAACTTTAATAAGCTAATTCACAGTATTAAAGTTTATTCCATAGGTTAAAATAATTGTACGTATTACGTAAATATAATTAAATTATGAATAGAATTAACTATATATATATCATTCACCTATGTAATAAGTAATATTATAAAAATGATTTAATCATGATATTAATTCTATAAGTATGGAAAACAAAGAAATGTGAAGAAAGATTATAAGATAGTGACATTTTAATTATAATATATAGTAAAGATGAACAAAAAAGGGTTAATATACTTATTATTATTATTATAACAAAGCATGCTGGGCATGGAGATTTGCATGTTTTTAATGAAGAAAAGAACACAACATCAAATCTTAATCATTAGTAGACATAATAATGATTAGCAGTGATTTTTAACCTTCTCTTTTCTCGAGGAATTCCCTTGTTTTAAGCTCTCTGTTTCTTCTTTCGAGCCTCTCACCATTTCTTATTATTTTATTTATCTCAATTTAATTCTTTAATGGCCCAAGATCCCACTCTCCCTTTGTAACTTGAATTTTATTTTTAAATATAAATATTATATGTTGATAGTATATTAAATATATATTTATTTACTATAGTATAAAACTAAATTAATATTTTTTAAAATCATTAAAAAAAAGGAAGAAAGGGTAAAGATAAGTATTAAGTAAAGTTAACCTCATTTACTCTATGTCTTGTATCATTGAAAAATTGGTTTTAAAGGATGTCTATGACTTTAAGAATCCTTATTACTTGTTGAGGAACCAATACAAGAGAACAAGAATCTATTTTCTTTTTGTAAAATTAAAGGGTAAATTCTGTCTTCTTCCCCAAAACAAAAGGAAACGCAAAGAGAATCAAAATCAAGCATTGTGAAAATTTTTGTCTAGTGTATATACTATTATACCAAAGAGAATATAAAAAACAAAAAAAAAACCCACTTTTTTTTAAAAAAAAAACCCAAAAATGTATAGTAAATATAGCAAATACTTCATTAAATAACCCGAAAAAGTTCATTTTAAATTAATATAGATAGAAATAATGACACCAGAAGTAAATGAATTTGTTTTTGGAAAAATTTGTGTCTTAAAAAAACATTATTTTCTTTAAAAAATTACCAAAATAATAATTTAAGAGGTAAAGAAAGAATTTAAATTATTTATTTTATAATTTAATAATAATGGTGATGCTGTTGGGACATTAGATTCCATAATAGAAAGAGGTCACGGAAATGTCACGCGTGGGGACGTGCATGTCCCACACGTGGGCCAGTTTCCCCCCCGGCAACCTGCTTTTTACCTTAACCCATCCGGCCCCCAACACAATCCAAACGCTCGTGACCATCTGACCAACGGGAGTGCCAAGTTGCCGGTCACCCTTGGTCCACGTGTGTCAAATCATTTGGCTGGGTCACCTACCCTAGGGTTCCCCTGTCCGTAACGCAATCATTACCCCTCAAGAAAACAAAACAAGGAAAAAACAAGGGACTTTGTCCTGTTGAGAGTTTGAGGTTACTGTCCCTTTAATGACTCTCTCACCCTTTTCCTTTCCCGAAGTGGCAAAAAGGTAAATAAAGAATCTGTTTTGGGCCTTTTTGTCAGAAAAATTTTTTCCCTTATATTTTCTCCTGACAGTGATTCCAATCTAAGGCCGGGATCTGAACTGTTGCAGTTGAAAATGACTATTTTGCCCTTCAGTGACTAATCTGACAATGTGGGTGGCTTTGAGAGTTTTTGTCTTTTTGACTGCGAATATGCAACCGTTACATGCTTCATATACTTCTGTAATCCAAGCTTAACGATTGAGTCATGATTTTACCAAATTGCCCTTCCATGGCTAATTAACCCTAGGGTTGTGTCTGATCACTAGTAATTAGGGTTAGGGTTTTTGGATATTTTTGCTTGCCTTTTGGAGCAGCATCCTTGTACGATGAGATCTGAAATGAGAAAGATTGAGATTGATTGAGCTTGAGTCCATGCAACAATTTGGCAAAGGGGACCCATTTTTGTGTGTGAATTATTTAAGTTTTGCTTGTGAGAAAAGAAAAGCAATTCCCAAGATTGTACAAAAATTGCATTTCATTTATAAAATTATTCTAAGATGTAATAATTACAGAAAATTTTGAGTGCAAAATTATCTTATAATTCATTATCAAATAGATTAAGAATATCTCATTTCAATAAATAAAAAATTATATATACCTGCATATTTTATCTAGTATATCAAACACAAAAGATAAAAATAATCATATGATTTGATAACATCTTAATTGATCATATAACAAGTTTGCATTAATGGTAAATGCTAAATACATTTTTTAAGCTCAATATCAGAAAACCGGATATGATTTAAAGTAAAAGAAAAGTAAAAATAAGATCAAAATTTCATGAATTTCTAGTGTTTAGTTTAATTATTAATATCTTTCTTGAAGGCAATTTTTTTGTATAATATACAATTTTATGAAAAATAATAAAAAAATGGTATAAACTTATCAAATCTGACCCAATTCTTTCAATTTTCATGAATGATTTAAGATACTGCAATTGAATTCCAACTTCCACATGACAACATACCAATTTCTAAGCAGCAACACTCAATAATTATGCACATAAGAACAAAGAGAAATAATGCAAGAGTGCATCATACTTTACACCCTCCCTATCCAATGGACCACTATGTTTCAAAGCTTACAACAGATATTAACACAAGAAGAAGCAAAAGCAATGGCAAGTAGTAGGCAACAAATTATATTAAAAATCTGTCACAATAATTAAAAAATATATATAATTATTTCAATCAAACCTAAGAGCCAATTAATGTTCATTAGGTGATAAATTACAAAGACAATTAATTAAACCCTAATCAAACCACCCCTTCCTCCTTGAGTTGGCCCCAGTCACCAACCAAGGACAAAGGAGTCATCTCATATTTTTCTTCTAACCCCTTTTTTAAACACTCTTTCCACTTTTTTCCCATTCCTCACTCTCTCTCTCCCCTTCCAGCTCCCTTACACCATTCCCCTCTTAAACCTTTCCTTTCTATTTTCTATATTTTCTCCCCCTTTCTCTTTTCCATCTTTCTATGCATATCAATTATCATCCATGGCATTCTTTAGCAGCAATCAGAGTAGAGTCTATTTAACACGGCAGCTGTGGTTTTTCATATTTTTGTGCTCTCTGACCCTCTCTTCTTCTTCAATCCATGACCTCCTTGTTTCAAGAGGGTTACCAGCAGGGCTCCTCCCAAAGGAAGTGAAATCCTACACTCTTTCGGAGAATGGAACCCTGGAAGTGTTCTTGGATGGACCATGCTTGACCAAGTATGAGAACAGGGTGTTCTTTGACAGTGTGGTGAGGGCTAACCTCACCTATGGCAGCCTCATTGGAGTCGTTGGGTTGACACAGGAAGAACTCTTCCTCTGGTTACCTGTTAAAGACATCATTGTGGATGACCCCAAATCTGGTCTTATCTTGTTTGACATTGGAGTTGCTCACAAGCAGCTCTCCTTATCCCTCTTTGAAGAACCTCCTGACTGTAAGCCTCAAGGTATCTATATCTTAACCATTTTCCTTATTTTTTGGTCATTTATCAGTCAAGCAACACATTGGGAGAGAACCCTTTTTATCATTTCGTAAAGATGATTTGAAAACTGAAACATTCCTTGCACAGATCAGATTATCTGTCACTTAATCATGATACTTGGAAGATATTTTGTTGGGTGTTTAAGATTGATGTAGATTTCATATCTGTGGTTAGTGAAGGGTGGGGTTTCTGTTATTACTTTGAGAACAAAAACAACTTTGGATTTTAATGCCTGAACTGTGTGTCTGATCAATCCAGTTACATTTCAGTGGTGTTGTTTCCCCCTAGTAATTGATTATGTAGTCAGTTTCCTTTTCCTCTTTTCCTTTGTTGTTTGTATTATAACTTTTGTTTCTTTGTCTATTCCTCCAATTACATGAGAAAATAGCATTTCCGTACAGTACCAAGGTACAAGTACGATCAGCACAGAACCCAGTTTACTCCTTAGCAGGTCCTTGGTGACTGAAAAAATAAAATACCCTAATTTAATTTGTATTATTTCATATTATTATTAGTAATTTTGGGGTTTTTTGTTTTTTGTTTTTGTTTTTGCAGGAATGTTGAAGAATCATGTGAGGAAGGAGAAAGGGTTTGAGGCTGTGAGATAGAGAAAAGATGCCCCAAGCTGTTTCAACTTTATTTTCTTCTTTTTTTTGTTTAATATGTAATAATTAATTAGGGTTTTTGTCTTCTAATATAGTTAAATATAAGTAATTTAGGTCTTGTTTAGGAGTTGTTAAAATGTGGATTTATGGGAATCTAATGTCCTAATCAATTTAGAAGGTCTAATCTTTTTAAACCCCTTTTTCCCCTTTTGTTTTAATCAATTTTAAAGATTTAAAAAGAAAAAAAAAGGGAGATTAGATTAGCACCTAAGCAATGGATAAATTCTTATTTATCTCCCCACACCAATAATTATTATCTACTTTCGATTTTCTTTATTTTAATGTTTTAAATTGTTTTTGCTAATAAATTTCACACATGGATTTTGATTTTTTTTTTCAATTTTCTTATCTATACAAAAATTTAAAAAATAAAAGGTAAAATAGATAATCTTTAGCAATTTTTTGAACATTTAAATCTAAGGCTATATATTTATCAAAATGTCAGTTACTAAACCTTTTTGTTAAATAAAAAACATTTAATCCACTAAAATATTATAAATCTTTTATAATAATTTCTTCGAACAATGAGAGATTTTTCTCTTCAAACTATTATTTTATACACCGTCTCGTTGTACTGTAAAATTTATGTTGATATATCAAAACCAAAACACTTTCTTTTTTTCTTTCATGGATTTTACTATAAAGTTTCTTTAAATTATTATCATAACTTTATTTCAATCTCTCCTTTCTTAATTAATACTATAGTGGATGCCAATATAATAATTATATATGATCATGAAGGTTTTTTTCCTTTTTATTTTTTTTACACCATGGTCTTAACTTTATTTTACGCGGGAAAAGTGGGGTCAGTGTGTTAATATATATTTGTATTGTTATATGGACCCACAAGCACCTAGTTGGCGGGTACATGAAGCATTTTTTCTTGTCCCTTTTGTTTTCATTGCCTTGGGCTTTTATTTTGGTTTGGCATCATCACAAAGGCTTTGCACTCCTCTTGGTATATTCCCTTCTACCCTCTTTTGGGATATAGCATTGAATTCAAGAGATAAGGTAGCAAATTAGATAATAGGGTATTCCATTGGTAAAAATATTCAAAAAAATCTTTGTATTATATGGTTTTGTTCGATTTAATCTTTATCAAAAAATTTATCAAATTTAATCCAATTATTAAGCTATTTGATGTAATTTGATCCTTATAAGCTGCATATATTGTTTGTGAAATCCTTTTTGTCATTATTGTATCTGAATCTATTCATTTTGAGTTTGTAACATTCATGATTTAAATTAATATTCTTATTCATTCTACCATCTAAAGTCATTCTATATTCCTCACTTATTCATTCGTGTTCCAATTCTAACTTAATTTAAGTTATTCGAATTCTTTTTATCATAAATGAGAAGTCCGCATGTTTTCAAAAAAAAAAAAAGTTTTGGTTGATTTTATGACTAGCAACTGTTTTGATAATTCATCGATTGGAGCTTGGGTTGTCGATGAACGATATGATGGGAATTTATTTTCCTTGAATGATTAGATTGTAAAATTTTATTTTCCACTATACAAAAATGATCAATCTTCCCTAACAGATAAAACTTAAGATATCTTGTCATAAAAATGGTACACTACTAGCTACCAAAATAAAAATTTAAGAAGGAATAATCCATTAAAACCAAAGCTAAATCCACATCCAACTAAGCTTTAGAGCATCAGTTTCACTGACATTTTGTATAAATCCACTTAATTAAATCAAAGGTGCCAATGTTACTAAAGTTAGGAAAACCATTAATTATTATAAGACCTTCCCATTTGAAATTCCCATTTATCTCTTTTCTTTTCAATATGGGGAATCTGCCCTTGGCCCTCCCTTTGGTGGGTTCCCTTGTCCTTTCATATCCATCACCTTGTGAAAGGTCATGGTTCTAATGTCAGATTATGCTTTTTTTATTTATTATAATAAATGAGGTCAAGCTCAAAGGTCTAGCTAGTTATTCATTAAAGAGAAGAAAGATCAAAGGATTCTTTAAGGATCATTGTCTTGGGGGATTTTGATTTGTGATGAGATCGAAACCATCCAAGGCATTGTGATAGTACAATCTATGAGATTAATTATGTTACTGAAAATGGGTTGATAATTTTATTTTATATAATGAAAAATATAATTATGACCCCCCATGTGATAGTTTCTTAGGACATTGGATGCTGATATATAACCTTATAATCTTCCTTTTGATCTCAATTTTGTGAACTATATGTATGCATCCCTGTTGATGTGTACATTATAGCAGGAAAAAACCACTAAGCTTAGCAGTTTTAGGTTTAAAACCAGAACCTTTTCGGGTTAGTTCCAAAATTTAATACTTCCTTCATCTCATTTAATTTGTCTATATTTGACCTTTTTAATTAATATAAAAAAAATTGAATTCGTTTTAATGAAAAAGTTCGATAAGGAACAAACAGAATGAAATGGACAAAGTATGAAGTGTTATAGTATCACGTTCGGATTAAGTTAACGTCGAACGGGGGTTTAAGTAGAAATCATATATTTGAATTTTATCATATTTCACCTTATATTAAAATGAATTTATCATTGAAATTTCTTTCATTGAAACAATATTGAATTAATGGTAAAAAAAGGAAAAGAATAAAAAAATGGATTTAAATTGGTGAGAAAAAAGGGTTCACCTTTATTGTTGGGGAAATATAAATTTGGACCGAAGCTTAATTGTAGCATTGGGTTAATATTTAAAGCCCAAAGTTTCATTGTAGGTTGGGTTTAAGTTAAAAGGGCTTTCTCCATTAACCCCAAACCTAGGCTAGGCTGCGGGCCTTAACATGAAAAGGGCAAAAAGAGCATAATTTAGGACCGTCCGATCTAGATACTTTTTGGATAAACAATAATTACTTCAAACTAGATTTTTTGGATAAGCATAATCCAAAAAAAAAAAAATTTTTTTTAAAAATAATTAAATAATATATTCCATTAAGTGATTTATTATTTTTTATATTATTTAAAAATTTAAATTTCGTGTTTTTTAGAGTCAACGTAAGATTATTTCATAGGAAAATAGCCAAATACTACTACTATTAGGAATTGAAACGACGCCGTATGGGAGCTTGGTTCCTCTCCAAACGAGGCATTGTTGTGACGTCGACGTCATCACCTCGGGAAAATCATTTCCTTGTCAACTAAAAAGAATAAAAAAATAATAAAAAAATAAAAGCCATAGATTTTATTTATTTAATTTAATTTTGCTCTATAAAGAGACATATCCATTTCTTCACTTCCTCAGAGTTCGCTAGTTCCACAGAAAAGGAGAACAAACCTTATTTCTCCGAACTCTGTTTTTGGCAATATGGGTGGAGGAGTCATGAGGGCGGCGGCGAAGGTCGCCGGGCTGGGAGTTGTCAACACCGGTTTGCGTGCCGGTTTTCAGGTGTCACCGTCGTCAACCGAGCACTCCGTCATGCGCGTCGCCTCTCGTCCGGTTTCTTCTGCGATGGCTGTTTCTAGGGGCGGGGTTTCCTCCGTTGCTGACGCGGCTGCGTCGGTCAATCGGAAGGTGTGTTGGGAGACGTTTGATGACTGGGAATTTGCTGGTGATGTTGAAGAGGAGGTGGCTATGGTAGGGTCCACCGCCTCCGGCAGTGGAGAGCCGATGGCTCGGGTGTTGTTTGGTGGCGTTCCGAGCCATGAGGAGGCTAAGGAAGCCACTGCTGATTTGAAAGATGCGTTGGATAAGTAAGAATATTGCTTTTTGAGAAATTTTAATTATCATTTTAAGATCCTTCGATTCTTTTATTTTTTTTTTAAACGCAACTTCGATTCTATTTAGTGCAAATTTGATTCTTTGCTAAAGTTCTTGAAAGCCCCTTTGATGATTGTTAGTAGTTTTTATGGTGTATTATAAAAAAGTTGGTTTCTTTTTTCTAAAAAAAAAAAATTCATTTTTTTCTTGAATGTTAGTTTAATGCATTGGAATTTTTAAGAAAGATATGAATTAAGCTAAAATTTTGGTTATTATTGCTCTTCTTGGATAAAGATGTTGAATTTATTGATTTTTTTAGTATGTTTGTTTAGGTGTTCTATTATGTTACTTATATGAGTGTAATGTTACTCATGAAGACTGATTTCAAGAACCATAAACTAAAAAGTTAGAATTTTTGAAGTTGGGGACTGTTCTTGATATTGAAGGTGTAAGTTGCTTCATGATATATCTACTTTTGAGGGTGGGATGGATCACTGATGTTATTGGAATATGTGGAAACCATATTGTTATTTTTTCTGGATGTGTTAGCTAATTTCTTGGTTATTGATTTTTTTAAGGGTTTTTCTGTCATCTCCAAATTCTGCTGACACTGCTTGTAATGTCAAAGCCACTTCAGTGCCAAAACCTGCTATTCAGGCATTCAAATTGCTCAATGAGAGTCCTCAAGTTCAGGTTGTGGTTAACCTTTGGTTTTTTTTTTTTTCTGTTCATGTTTTCAAGTACTTATAATTGTTTTATGGTGTGGAGACCAGTAGACGAGTTTCCCTCCTTGATTCTTGTGCCCTGGGAAATGGTAGATGTCTCTTTGCAATCATTTCTTACCCTCCAGTTGGCTTTCTACATATGGTGGTGACTTTTGCATTTGTAGTGATCTTCCATACAGAATTATGTTAATGGTTCTTGTTAGGGTCACTTCCTCTCCGATGTAGCTTCCATTCTTTGCAAAAGTACTAGGATGCTTATTTGGTTGTTGATTTCCTAGTCCTTCAATTTTATATTTTCTCCCTTTACCTATAGGTTATAACATATAAGCTTACTTAGTTGATGGTTTTGGTTTTGCACTCAGTCTGTTGTTGCTTCACTTGCTGCTGATCCGAATATATGGAATGCTGTCTTGAACAATTCGGCTTACATGGAATTTGTCCAGTCCCAGAAGACCAGTGAGAATTGTTGCACATTGTTTTTCTGTTACTTTCAATATTTGATGCATCTTGTACTCCTTTTTTGAATTTAAAAATGAATGTGTTGCAGATGATGAACTTGAAGATCGTGGATCCCCTCAAAGCTCTGAATCTTCAGTGAAGTTAGAAGAATATGTTGATGCAGGTCATCCCAAAGACAGTGGAAATCAATTTTCAAATTTTCTACTGAACGTCAAGACTACCGTGGTTGAGTTGGTGAATAAAGTGACTGATTTCCTTCAGAGCCTCTTTACTTTGCCCTCTGCTGAAAATGCCAAAGGAAATGCTGGATCAACCTTCAGTAGTTTTGATAAGACAATTGGAGCTAGCTTGATGGGATTGGCAGTGATGGTTATTATGGTTGTGCTTGTGAAACGAGCCAAGAGTGAAACTTCATAGCAGTCTTATGTGAATTTGCCGATCTTACAATCCCAAAATTCTCCATTTTCATTTGGATGCTTTATGGATGATAATGGTGATGAAAAATACTAGCTTATCTAGTTAAGTACATTTATCAATAGGTGGTTAAGGGTTGGATGTCTTGTACAGCTTTACTTGGTATTAAGCCGTGGAATGAGTTCTCATTTCTACTGTTATATTTGCTATCTCATCATCTCTGGCATAATGTCACACATCCCCTTTGGTGGTTTCCATGCATTTTTACATTTTTGTTTAGGTGAAAGCATCCCATTTTTGGCTGAGCAGTTTTGGTATTTGGGCAGCTGAATTCTGATAGAGAGTGTATGGCTTTTTGAGACTATGAGAACTGGGAAGCATAAACAATCTCAAATCAAGATGATGTGAAAGGTTAAATATCCAAAGTATACAACAGCTCGAGACTCAGAGTCCCTTTTCGTATAAATTCTACCAACTTGACGATGACATCTTAGAACTTGCTTTACATGGATGACACCGCACGGACATCTGACAGTAAACGCTACATTTCTGCCAACTGGACAATGACGTTTTCTTGTATTATTGTCATTTTCATATAACTTAAAGCAAAGCAGAGAGATTCTCTATCAGTCTACTTTTATCTTTACTAGTATTTTCCTTTGTCCCAAAATTACAGTCTTAAGTATTATAGAATGGCAATTTCTTAGAAGCTTCATGCGAAAGCAAGGTCACAACAAGAATCTTGTAAACCTACAAAACTGAACAGCCATTGAAAAATTTTGACAGGCTTTGTGAAAAGAGCAAGACCAACTTCACCAAGGTATTGCTCCATGCCCTAGCCGCCCCTGTTATTGTCCCTTTCCAACTATAAATATAAATCTTTGGGATTTTTATTGGGTTTGTCCTGTTATACCCCACTATTAATATACAGGATATCCTCTTTTGCTATTTGCATCTGTCCTTTATCTCTTCTACTCTTTGCTTGTGTCCGGTCTGGTTGGCCACGCTGGAAAGAAGATTTTCCGATGAGTTAGTATCATCCAATTGTAAAGGAATTCAAAGGACGCCTTAAGTTTACAATGCATAATGCAAATGGAAAATAGGAGGAGGTATCAGAATCTAATATGATACAGGATCCGAGACCAACCTTCTTTAAAACAAATGCAAGGTATAAATAAGCCACCTCCCACTCATCTGGAGATAATGTGCCTAGGTGTCACAATGACAAGCACAAAACAATAATTTAATCAGTGTCAAGTAAAACTGAATGGCAAAGATAAATGATTCAAATGAGACAATGGAAGTGATGAACTTTATGGGGGTTAATGAACTTACTCTGATCTTGGTTACCATCACCTAATGCACCAAGCCTCCGCATAAGCTCTATATGTTCGGGTTTTTTCAAGTACTCATGCACAAATTCATGCGAGTTTTTAACAAAAACTAGTTCTAGATCATACTGCAAAGACAGATACCAGAAAGCATCAACATAACACATTTATAGTACATAAGAAGTCTCAAAAATGACAGGAAATTGTTGCAAGGAAAAAGAATTATAATTAGAATAACATTTAAAAGAAGGTTAGAAACCTCCATTTTCTTGAAAAGGAGTTGGCAATAATCAGAATCATACCTCTTCTGCTAATGACTTGAAGACCTGGAAGGGAACAATCCATTCAGGACAGTCGACAGCATCCTGCAACAAAACATCCCAATGGAACATAATAAGCAAGATTCTATGAAGTTCAAGAACACAGTTAAGGAGGACAGCAAAAAGGTATGGACCAAATGCATAACACTATTTTTCCCCCTCAAATTACTGTACTAAAAGCAATAGATTGCTCATGATTTAAAATGAAAGGCTGATATCTAAAATAGGAATTGTCAAAACCAGTACCTCTAAGTGAAACTTGTATTTGATACCAAAGGGGCTTGAAGATTTAAATTTCTGAACCATGTCATAAAAGTGTGTCAGGGTTAGATTAAATTTGTAGCCAGCATTGATATCTTTCCAAAAATGTAGCTGCAAGATAAAGGAGGATGCCATTCACCTTGTCAGAAAATTCTTCGTCAAACCGTATCCAGTAGACACTGTTGCCAAAGGCCAATCCTTCAGCTGCATATTCACAATGAAAATAGCATCTCCAATCAAGAATGACAAAAGTAGTCAGCCATGCCCAACAATCCTAATGCTCAAAAATGGCAGGGAAGAAATGACAAGAAACAGAAGAAATCTTACTTTGCAATAATATATAGTCTAGAATAGAAATAGTTAATCATGACTAGATAACCTAAAACCGATTTAAACAAACAACAGCTGAGATATGTTAAAACTTTACCAAGAAGACTATGCCATTGCTTTTCTAATTGGTAAAATGAAACAATAAAATTACATGATGTTATTTACTTGAAATACTAGCTTTTAGTCACTTAACAAAATCTATCATTAAAATTTGGACACAGATATGCAAGGTGATATAGCACCTGTTATAGCTTTTTGTGGAAATCAAATTTCCCATTTAATTATATTAACTGTTTATACATCGGATGCTTCTTGACTCTAAATTTCAGTTATTGCTTCACCTAACTATACGTTCTCTATAACATTTTTTGAAAGACAAGAAATATAAAAGCAAGTTGCAATTTTCAACCTTCTCTAAGTTTTTTGATTATGACATTGGCATCTGGCATTGTCCCAATGAAGGTGCCTCCCGGACGAAGTAAAGCTGATACATTGGCCAGTGCCCGACGTGCACGCGCCTCTGTAGACCAGGAATAATGCATGGCAAACTGCGTAAATCAAGATAGCACTTTTACAACCACAATTATGGTTTCAGTTATATATAGAACTAGCATGAAAAAGCAGCTTAGTTTGTAGCATGGGTAGCTCTAATACATATGTAGCCTTTTCTTAAGAATATTGTCTAAAAATACTAAAAAACTCCAGCTAAAAGTTGTGAATGATAATCAACTCATTGACTCAGTAACAAATTGGTAACTAGCTTCAACAGATAAAATTTCCAAAGTTGTGCTAAACCTTTGGGGTAATTTTATCATAGGGCAGCAGAATAGACATATAATAGCAGATTTTCCAACTATTCAAGAAAACATCAATAGCACTCAATCACCTGGCAACTGCAGATATCAAAAGGAGCATCATCCGCCAAAACTCTATCCAGGCGTACCTGAAAATAATCAAAATATAAAAAATTTGAAACATATCCTCTAACACCTGCTAAACCTTGTACACCATTAATAAGTTGGTCCCAAGGCCCAGTTCTCCAAAAGGCAAATTTTGTTTCACTGGTATGGATATCTGTTCTGTATGGCACTAAACACTATTGTCCATGACTAAGCATGCCATTTTATGTGATAATTATTCCAGAGAAGCAGAGACCAACTTAGCTGGCCAGTAATGAAGATGTATTTCAAAAGTGAGTACAATATTGCCATTACCTCATAACAATCTCCACATATGAGACGGGCAGGAAAAGTGAACTTTTTGCGACGTTGATGATGGTCTGCATCACCATTATATCGCGTACGGCAATCTTCTATCTGTGCATAAATGGAGAACGCAAAATCAATATGGCAACTTGTGACATAATAGTTATCAAAAGAAGATTTTTTTCCACTTCCGTTCTTTCCTCTCTAATTTCCTTTTTGGGTGGGGACGAGGGTGGGATCAAAGCATATAGCAAAACAACTCTACTGCAAGCTGTTATTGGCCTTAGAAACACATGATTTATTTGTGATTTTAAGCTAGAAACTATCTAAACTGGCATTGAATATTGAACAGGACACACGTTTCAGAAAGCTGCATTTTGAATTTATTTCATGAGGTCATACGTAGAACTAACTGTGCAACAAACCCAAGGATTAATTCACATGTGTCTATTTGGAAACGAATTCAATCGTGGCATCATATTTACCAATGGTACTGCTTAAAGAAATTAATCCTCAGAGTAAGTATGATTGTAAATACTCAAGGAGGCCCAGATACCAGATAGATTGACCACAACTTAACTGACCTACTAATACGGAAAATAGAGTGAACAAAAATAGAAATAAAAAAAAGAGTATTTCAGCACTTCACCGAGCCGTCAGCTATATCAATGCCAACATAATATCCAATTTTTGCCTTATCCCATTTGATGAGATCACCACCCTAAAACACAAAATAAATGATAACAGAAGGTTTAAAATACATTGAATTCGCGCAAAAAGAGGTAATTTAAAGACAAATAAGTGTCCTAAAATACCTTGCCACATGCAAGATCAAGAACAGCATCACCGCGACGAGCATAAAGCTGAATCAACACACTTTTAATCTGTCCAATGAAAGAAGAAAATGAATGACAAAAACTTCAAAACATATCATCAATTCACGAAGCAGTTCATGAGATTCAATGACATACCCAATTATTTAGCTTCTTTAAGTGAATGATAGGACTTGCTTCTCGTTCTTCCAAAGTTTGATTTGTTCTTGCACTATAATGGTCAGCCACTTTCCGAGCAAAAATCTTTGTGCTTTCATCCTCCAAAAATTGTGCATCACCTAATACCACAACACAATTTCAGCATCTTTAGCAAAAGTCTTGCACTTAATTCTTTAGTTTTAGCTACAAAGCTAACAATCAACATTTGGATTCTTTTCCTATCCTCTCAAACTAAACCTTATGAACTTTAAAAGCCAAGTTCAAAAAAATCAACTCATTAACCAAAAACCTGATAAAAAGAATATAAAACTAAATTGCATCTGAAGCAACTAACCTATAGTAAAAGATTGAAAACTTTCTATTTACTTTCATTCAGCTACAACACAAGTTTAGCCGCTTTAATGCAAACCTTTTCATACTATATTCTTCATTACTTAATATTTCACTTAGCAATTAAAAAATTGGGTCATTTTTCTTGCTTTCTTACATTTAACCATACGAACTTTTAAACCCAATTGCAAAAATCAACACTTTAACCAAACAACCATAAACTAAACTAAACTAAACTAAACTAAAGGAAACTATTTTATTAACTTTTAACCAAACCGAAACTATAATTCGATAAAATATAAGAAACCCAAAGTTCTAAAATTTAACTAATTACACATAAAGACTATCAAGACACTCAAAAGAAACAACCCCACCTTCAGGGTTATGTTTGAATCTGGTTTGAGGTGGACCAAAAGAAGAAGATGGAGATT